GAGGCCAACTCTTCAGACAGGGATTGGGCTGGACTGGACTGTGATACTCGTGAGGAGTGTGCCTCTTAGATCAAGTAGATACAAGAGACTAAACAGGCAGCTTCTGTCCAGAGGTGAGATGGGAAGGCAGAGAGGGTTAGGAGCTGGTTGAATGGACATGGGGAATCAGGGGTGGAAAGGACATAACTATGTATGTCTAAATTTCTGGATGGAAGACTAACTTGAAATGTAAACTTCATCTAAACTACAATAAAAAAAAAAAAATGTTCCCAACATTGACATCCACAAAAATAAGTCTCCCAACTTGAACTAACATTTATCTAATAACTGAAACAGAACAAAAAGATTACCTTTTATATTTAATAAGGGTCAAAATGCTGAAACCAAACCACAGTTAACTATCATTCTTGTACCCAGAGAACTGTGTTAGCAGATGAAACCTGACTAAGCCTCAAACTAAGAGACTTGAAGATTGGTTCAGTGAATACAACCGTAAACCAAGAAATTAGAACTGTAAAGAGAAAACACTTCTTTAAATCACTATGACTCAGCATCTAATGAATTTTGATGTTGTTGTTGAACATTTCTTAAGACTCAAGTGTCCTAAGTACTCAAAACTGGCCTCTATTAGCTGTAGGCAATTCGGGACACAATTCCTGGAAGGAAGATTATAAGGAACCCTCTACCAAAAATATAAGTATGTACTGAAATAGCAGACCCAGAAAAAGTAATAGTCAAAGTATCTGAAAGAATAAATGAACAATAGGAAAATGCTAACCAAGAACAAGAAAATCTTCAGCCAAATGTTCTGTGTTCTCTGTCAACACTAAAGAATATCTATTCTTGGTCAGAATCCCAGTTATTAATAAGATGTCTACACTAGAAAAAGATGTTTCTTACCTGAGACAGCGTAGACACAAAGTTTTCTAGAATGCAAAACAGCCAAATGAAGCATTTCAGTACCTCTGAAAAATGGAAAAGTTTTTAAATATAGTTTCACATATAATTAAAAAAAGGGTAAATAATTTTTAAAAGATATCACAACTTCAGCCTACTGTGGGTAAACTAAACAATTCACAGATAACATTCTGAACTTAAAAACACATTTAACAACAAACGGCCAGTGTGGTAATCCCAGAGGTTCAATACTCTGCCTCAAAGAGCTGCCTTCAGGTTGAAGTCAATGGAGCCTGTAGGAGGCCCCTTCAGGAGTGCTCTCCCATAATAAAGAGATCCAAGGGCTGGCCCTGGCTTTCTGACTAATCAACCTGTGACCTTGGGCAAGTAACTTAATCTCTCTGAGCCTGTTTCCCCTTTGGAAAATAAGAGGTTTCAAATTTAAAAGATTTGCCAACTTTTAAGAACAAGGAGACTTCCCATAAAAATCCCTGCTCTCTGGCTTTTCCTTTAAAATGTGGAGATCTGGCCACAAGCCCAGAACTGAATAGTAGCAGCCTCCTTTAGTCTGGCCCCAGTCTTCAATTGATCACAGCCATTTACACCCTGTACTTGTTTCTATCTACCTGCTTGATCCTTGGAGACTTTGGATTTGAGATTTCTAGATCATACCATGCTGCTCTCTATAGAAACCACTGGATGAGCCGGGAAGTATAGTAGTGATATTGGTAGTTTATTCCTGTTTGAGATTTAGTCCACAGCTACAAACAGGCCACCAGTGTACAACCTCTAATATAAAGCCAAACTACCAGGACTATAACTGAAGCCTGAAGGCCTGGATAAGGGTTCTGATTCTACACCTTGCTAATTCATTTAATCTCTCAGAGATTAAATCAGTTACTTTCTCATTTATAAAATAAGAATTATATTAGATAATACCTACAATATTAATACCTGCAAAACATTTTTACAATGGATATACAAATACTCATCTCCAGAAAATATTTGTAATATGTACAACTATCACTTTTTTTTATATCGCCTTCAAAAAAATTTTATATGTACCTCAGATCCTCAAAACATTTTTTCCAACAGGAAAGGAGTATGATGTCATGGAAAGATAGTAAAGTATGGAGTTAAATAGATCTGGGTCTCAATCCTGGCTGTGTGATCTTGTACTCTAAGCTCCACTTTCCTTATCTATAAACGCAGGTCATATCTGCCTTATAAGATTATAAGATTAATGAGACGATATCTATAAAGGGCCTAGAACAGTATCCACTCAATCATGTTAACCTCTTCCCCTTCCAACTAGTGACCACATAGCTGAGAAACACACTTGGAACTGTGATGGCATTATACTTTTAAAAAACAGAAAAGTAAAAAATGCTATTTAGAGGCAAGAATCCTTTTGCCTCCTTTATAGATCCGTTATGCGTAATGTGCTACGGAAACCCTGTTGGCATAGTGGTTAACAGCTACGGCTGCTAACCAAAAGGTCGGCAGTTTGAATCCACCAGGCACTCCTTGGAAACCCTATGGGGCAGTTCTACTTGTCCTATATAGGGTCGCTATGAGTCAGAATTGCCTGGACGGCAACGGGTTTGAGGTTTTTTGGGTTTAATGTGCTAGGTACACAATGAGCACCTAATCATCATCTGCTTTTAGATGGAGTAGGTATTTCCCAGCCACATCAGTCATAAAATCTCCTCGATCCAGCCTGTCACAGCGCATAAAAGTCCCATCTCATACCCTGGCCTAACAGATCCAGGCTACAACTTCAACTTCCCATCAGAATGAAACACATCACTAGCAGAGAGTTACCACACATGAGTGGTTGTTCAGCTTTCTAGCAGAAGGCAGGGCTCTGAAAAATGGCACGTGAGGTCAATAAGTTATGACGGGCAAATGGAGCAAGGCAGAATCCAGTGCACAGAGCACTGCTCTGACTTCAGAGGGCACTCACTACTCGCAAGCAAAAATCAAAACCAAGCCCATTGCCAAAGAGTCAATTCCAACTCATAGCGACCCCATGTGTGCAGAGTAGAACTGTTCCACAGGCTTTTCTTGGCTGTAATCTTTACAGAAGCAGATCACCAGGCCTTTTTTCTGTGGTGCTACTGGGTAGGCTCAAACTACCAATCTTTAGGTTAACAGTCAAGCATAAACCATTTGTGCTACCCAGGGCCCTTCCTGCAAACAAAAGGAGGCTCAAAAAGAGAAGATTGGGAAAAACAAGACCAACTTTTCACACTTAGTTTTTTTTTATTGTGCTTTAGATGAAGGTTTACAGAGCAAATTAGTTTCCCATTAAACAATTAATGCACATTATTTCGTGTCATTGGTTGCCAACCCCATGACATGTCAACACTCTCCCCTTCTCCACCTTGGGTTCTCCATTATTAGCTTTCCTCTCCCCTCCTGTCTTCTTGTCCTTGCCCCTGGTTTGCTGTGCCCATTTAGTCTCATTTTGTTTTATGGGCCTGTTTAATCTTTGACTGAAGGGTGAACCTCAGGAGTGACTTCAGTACTGAGATAAAAGGGTATCTGGGGGCAATACTCTCAGGGTTTCTCCGGTCTCTGTCAGACTGGTCTTTTTTTTGTGAGTTAGAATTTTGTTCTACATTTCTCTCCAGCTCTATTTAGGACTCTTTATTGTGATCCCTGTCAGAGCAGTGGGTAGTGGTAGCTGGGCACCATCTAGTTGTGCTGGACTCAGTCTGGTGGTGGAGGCTGTGGTACTTGTGATCCATTAGTCCTTTGGACTAATCTTTCCCTTGTGTCTTTGGTTTTCTTCATTCTCCTTTGCTCCAGATGGGGTGAGACCAGTGGAATATCTCAGATGGCCACTCACAAAGCTTTTAAGACTCCAGACACTACTCACCAAAGTAGGATGTAGAACATTTTCTTTATAAACTTTGTTATGCCAATTGAGCTAGATGTCCCCTGAGACCATGGTCCACAGCCCTCAGCCCAGTAATTCAGTCCTTCAGGGAGTCTGGATGAGTCTGTGAAGCTTCCATGACCTTCCTTGCCTTGGTCAAGTTGTGCTGGCTTCTCCAGTATTGTGTACTTCTTACCCTTCACCAAAGTTATCACTCATCTATTGTCTATTTAGTGTTTTTCCCTCCCCACTCCTCCTCTGCCTCGTAACCATCAAAGATTGTTTCTTTTTGTGTTTAAACCTTTTCACAGCTAATATTTTTGAAGGATTAATACAACAAGCTTGATTTTAAGAAAATTCATGTATGAAAATAAGATAAAATCAGCAATATCAACAGTAAAATAGCAGATATATACACAAAATGCAAACTAACAAGACTTTCTAAAATAAACTAGGTTTGAAAGCAAAGTACTTTGAAACAAAGCTCTTGTAAGGAGAACACTTTGTGGGTTGAGCTGTCTTCTTTCCAGAAACTATAGTAGGAATAAGTAATTTGTTTAAAACTTCAAGGTTATGAGCCAAAAAGTAAAGGTTATCTGCTACTTTGTTTAATTATTTAAACAGACATTTATATAACTTGGGCCATTAGTTCTTTAGGTAAGTGAATACTTTCTATTTCTTTATTTAGTTATTTTCAAAAGCTTACCTCTTTTCCTTTAAGCTTCTGATACATCAGGCAACTTAGGTCTCTATTAGTATAAAAAGGCCCTAAATTGTTTTATCTTAAATGTACAGATTTCCACATAAAAAGCTTTCAACACATAAGGAACATCTAGGTGATAGTATCTAGAAAATATACTTGATTTATGGAGAGTCTTTTCTTCTTTGAAGAATCCACAAAAGTGACACAGTAAGGGCAGAAATGCTTCAAGTAAGATAAAGTACTAGAATTAGCGCAATGTACTTACGAAACAAATTTTCCTACTTCCACTTGAAGTACTGGATCTCGTAAATGCACTTCTAGTAGCAAATCTTCAGCTTGAGCTCCATCGCCTGTTTTTACAGGATGAGGACTAAAGATCCTTAGGTATCCCATGAAGCTACCCACAATTATTTTATCTGTAGAGAGATTTTTTTTTTTATTTAATGTATAAGAAAAAACAAACATTAGCAACAAAACATCTTTGTAAATAATCTTTCTAATGTCTAAAAGAGAAATACAAAAATTAAAAGAATCCAGTCTTGCTTCATATACAAAGGTCACTCCGCCAATAGGAGATGTAATTAAATAAAATACTGTATTAAAAAGGATATCTATTATTCAGCCATAATAAAGAGAAATGAAGTTCTGATACCTGCTACAATAGGGATGAACCTTGAAAACATGATGCTGAGTGAAATAAGTCAGACACAGAAGAACACATACTGTATGATCCCACTTACATGGAATATCTAGAAAAGGTAAGTGTATAGAGATCAAAGTGTATTAGTGGTTACTAGGGGCAGGCAGGAGGGAGGAGGAAAGGAAGACACAGCGCTTAGGGGACACTGAACTTCTGTTAGAGGTGAAGGAAGAATTTGCTAGCGGTTAATGGTGATGGATGAACAATAGGATGAACATAATGTCACTGAACTGTACATGTGAAGATTGTTGAAATGGCAAATGTTTTGTTATCTATATATTTACCACAATAAAAAAATTTTTTTTGAGGAAAAAAAAAAGTAGAAGAGAGAGGCAGAAAAGAAGAACCAGAGAAATGACAGCAGCCAGATGTTGACGGCTTTGAAGATGAAGGAAGGGGCCATGGGCCAAGGAAAGGGGACAGCCTCTAGAAGCTGCAAATGACAAGAAATCAGATTCTCTCTAAAGCCTCCAGGAGGGAATGCAACCCTGCAGATACCTTGATTTTACCCCAGTGAGGCCCATTTCAAACTTCTAAACTCCAGAACTATAAGATAATAAATTTGTGTTGATTTCTTAAAAAAATAAAAATAATAATTCCTAGGTTTCAGGCTTCAGCAGCTACAAAGATAGTGGTACCATTTATTAAGGTGGCGAAGATTTGAGAAAGAACAGAAGAATCAGTGATTCTGTTTTATACATATTAAGTCTGAGTTCCCTATTAGACATCCAAGTGGCGATTCCAAGAAGACTGCTGGATATAAAGAACTGCAGCTCAGGGCAGGTCAGTGCTGGAGAGAGAAACGTGGGAGTCTTAGAATATCAATGGTTTAGTCTGTGAGACTGGATGAGTTCACATAGGGAGCGAGTGTAAATGAAGAAGAGAAGACGGACCAGGATGTTTAGACATCAGGTAGTAAAAGAACTACCAAGAAAAGAAACTGAGTTGTGAGCTGCCAAAAGAAGGGCTGTAACCTGCCTTCTTGGCCATGAAATCTTTTCGTCATGGGGTACCTTGTGCTCAGCAAAACACACTGAGGGAAATGCTGCTTATGCTACAGTAAGTAGAAAGGTGGGCTACAAAAGGGTAGGTAAGTTCTGACTGCAACCATGTACAATCACGTGCAGAACATGCCTGGCACAAGTGCTCAAGAAACACCTGGTGAATAAAAAAAAATTTTTTTGTATTAAAATAAGCCACTGAGCTTTTGAGGTTGGGTGCTATGACCACACAACCTAGCACATCCTAACTGAAACATACTCCAACCCTTTTACCACGTGACCCAAAAACCTGACAGTTTTGAATTCCCAAAGCAAGAGCAGGCTTTCCAGTTGGTATAGTTTAAAGTATAACAGACTCTCCTAATATTTTTAGATCTAATGTTTTTTAAATGTCTGTGGTAAATTGAAGGAGCCCTGGTTGCACAGTGGTTAAGTGCTGGACTGCTAACCAAAAGGTCAGTGCTTCAAACCCACCAGCCACTCCGTGGGAGAAAGATGTGGCAGTCTGCTTCTGTAAAGATTACAGCCTTGGAAACCCTATATGGCAGTTCTACTCTGTCCTATAGAGTCACTATGAGTCAGAACTGACACGACAGCAATGGGTTTGGGTTGTTACAGTAAATTGGGATAGTGTATGTAAAGTCCCAATATGAGAATGACAGAGAGTACCCCTGAGTTTTTGAATAGAGCTTCATCCTCTTTAACAGAAAATTATACACCTTTTAAGAAACAATTCCTGAATTATTTATGGACTCTAGTAGACGCTAAATACCAATCATGGAATACCAAGTGATGATGTGACCTAATCTGTCTATCACGAATCAGAAGCTAACTGATCCACCTCACCATAAAGTTGGAGGTAAAGAGCATCACTCTTCGGTCAAGTAAAAATAGGATATTAGCAACTCACTACAGAAGGCTCTGAATCAAATATAACTAATTTCATAAACATTCTGCCTATGAGTCTGTTCTTGCCACACTGCTACCATTCTCTGTTAGGGAGCTCCCTGAGGGCAAATAAGAAAGGATTAACAGGAAAAAAAAAAAACTGAAGACTTCTTTTAAGATTACTGTGTGATAGTCTGACACTAGCTGGAAGTAGAATGCCCTACTTAAGACTGGCCCTGAAAAACAACAAAGAAAGTCCTCGCAGAGGACTAAACGTGAAGCAGCATAGCTTACCTATGATTTTGCCTGGAAGGAAAGGATGTCGGGATAAAGATCTATACTGATTCTGAGCAGTAACTATCAGTGACCAGATGATCGAAGCCAAGAAAGAAACAAAGTTATAGATTTGAGGTCTGAGGGAAGGGCATGTTGACAAAATTCTTAGAATGGGTCCAGAGTCTGAAAATGACAACATTCCTTCTAATGACAAGAGAATCTTCAGAATCAGAGTGATTCCCTCAGTCTGACTTCCCCAGACAGTCCACAATGGATTCATGAACAAAATAATATGGTGGCAGAAAATGGAAGCTAAAAAGCCATGGTACTCTCCTCATCAAAGTCAACCTGGCTACCATCACTGCTGAACACCCATCTACCTGACAGCAAACGGAAGGGGTGATACTTATCTTTCTTGGATAAACCACATATTCTAGATTTCCTATCCCCAAGCCATCAAGCCAATAACCATGATTCATGGTGCTTAAAACAAAACCAAAGCCATTGTCGTGGAGTCAATTCCAACTCATGGTACTTAGAGCACATTATATACCATCATATAAACCTACACATCACAGCTTCTGACCAAGAAACTCACTTCACAGTGAAAAAGCAAGGTGATGTCAGGGGACTCACCAGTCTAATCACATACCCCGATCGCCTAGAATCTGCTCGCTTTATATAATGGTAGAATGGTCTCTAGAAAGATCAGTAACATCACCTGCTGGGAGGCTGAGGTCTTGTCTTTCCAAATGTAGCACATGTAATACACTCGCATATATATGAGTTTAGAACCCAAAGGGTAAATATAGAGGTGGCATCTGTCACCGTTATACTTAACGACCCATTTTTAAAACTCCTGCTTCCCATATCTGGTATTGCGAGAATGTTTTCAGAAGATGTGATAATAGTTCCCCAAATGGAAGCTGAAAATGCCACAATGACATTTTGGTTTCCTAATGTTACTAGGTTAAAGGAAAACAGTGTTGGCTGGGTATCTGATTGTGGAAAGACAAAATAGGACAGCTCATACACATTGGGGGCTGGGGAAATCTGAGTGAAACCCAAGGTTCTCTGTGGGCCCCTTCTCATACCGCCTGGCCCAGTGGTAAATAAAACTACTGTAAACCTCTTCAGGCAACCATCAATGTTCCAGATCCCTCAAGAATAAAGGACAAGATCATTTCCCTGGTCTCCTCATCTCCCACCCTGGACCAAGAACCTCAGTAGATATCAGGCTGGTTAAAGGCAATAATAACAATAGCAGTATTGTAGTTATACAGCCGGTGACTTGTCGTAAAAATGAGGAACGTAGCTCCCAATATGACTTTCTAAAATTACATACAATTTTTCCTACTCCTGCACGTTAAATTTAAATTTTTTCTTCACTTCTTCCCTTTCTCAACTATTACATACAGGATGTGTGAATACTGATTATACGTACCACTTAGTCTAGAGAGAACAGAAGGTTGGAACAGGATAGTGACTAAACAACAAGAGAAGGGGACATCACCCAGAGAGCATGGCTTCACTGAGCAGGGGCTCCACGAAATCCTCTGAAGCAGGAAGTAAACATGGTTATCACCCTGAACAGAGGGGTGAGGACGTGTATGTGTGTGAAGTTGTACAAGGGATGGTTGCCCTATATGAGGTATAAATGCTTAGTAGCTTAGAGAGAAATGTTAAGAGCTATTTTTTTAGTCAGTCTTATGTGTTTTCTACTCCGATTCTAGTATGAACTCTGCCCGCTGGCCAGATTAATATGTAATCTAAGATGGACTATTCAGGTTCATATTAATTAATTCATTCATTCATTCTCTCTCTCTCCCTCTCTCTCTCATCTGAATCTTAAGTTGATAAAATCAGGAAGAGTAAGTACCGCTTTAAATATACGTTGGCTAATTTTAGCTAGCTCTCAAGGTTAGCCAGGAATTCTTTTATGTACCAAGTCAGCTTCTCCTGAAACAATTTCAACATGCCTACAAACCTCCCTTTCACTCTCTGATCACCTCAGAGAAAGTAGGGATGGGTCAACTGCCATTACTGTCTTAAATTCCCAACCCAACCTGAAAACTTCTCTCCATCTGTATCCATTCTTACCTTTTTGCCTTCTATCACAGAAAAAAAAAGGGTTTCCACACCTGTTCAAGGTTAACTCTTCCATCTGCATATCTGATCCCATCTCAACTGTCTTCCCTGGATCCCATCAACTATGTTCTATATCATACACTGTAGTTTTCCCACTTCTCTTTACCCTGTTATTCACAATCATCATTCTCTAATCTTCCCTTCACAGTTAAGCTTCTTAAAGCTTCTTAAAAGAGTGATAAATACTCACAGTCTTCCTCACCTCCCACTCACTCCTTCACTGACTGCAAATCTGAATTTTGTTACCATTGTGCCCACTCATCCACCCTCACCAAGGACACTAATGAGCCACTTGGTGCTAAATGGCATGGAAATTTTTTACTACTAAAAATCACTGAAACTTGCCTCCCAGGGACCAGCCCAACTGGTTCTCCTGCCTCTCTGCCCTTCTTTCTCAGAATTTCTTACTGGCTCTTCCCAAACCTTCCCCTTTAATGATCTGATTCTCCAGGTTACAGTCCTAAACTCCCTTCCCTCTTACTCCACCTCCTTGCCCTTTGCATGTTTATCCATGTTCAGGGCTTCAAATACAATGTGCTTACTGCTCACCTCCAAATCTCTGTATCTCTGTTCTGTAATTTCTATCTCAAACAGAATATGTCCAAAACTGCTCTGGATCATCTTCTATTCCATAAAATCAAGAACAGTAATTCTCAAACTTTATAGTGTGCGTACCATTCAACTCTGGAGATGATCAAAAATGCAGATTCCTAAACCCTACTCCCAGAGAATATGATCTTTTAGGGCATTATAGATCTGGGATGGAAACTTCATATATAATAATCACACTAGGTAATTCTGATGCAGGCGCTCCAGGCTTTTTGAAATAACAATCAGTGTCACTTTCTTCTTGGTACACATACACATAATAATTTTTGTATAACATACTTAGGAAAAAAGAAGAAGCTGCCCACAGCTGGCTACAAATTAGGGAGGAAGCAAATCTCAGCATATCAGTAACCCACGGTGGCTCCCTTACACCAGTTAGGGAGCTCTAATAGAAATGGATGGTGAACAGCATGTTTTTCAGTCAAAAAAGTATAGCTTCCAACTAAGCTGAGGTTTAACTAGATGAGGCAGGTTTGAATTGTTCTCTCTGACAGGTATGACTCTTTTATGTTATTAAATAATAGGGGGACCATAAGCTTTAAAAAAGAGTTGGGCTGGAGAGGCACAGCAGACAATCTCTGAGGAACCTCCTAAGGACATTCTCTGAATAGAAGGCCTTCCTACCTCCTCCAGGTGGGAGGGCAGGGCCCTGATTTTCCTTAGAAACAATTTAGTAGGGGCTCAATACAGATTAGTACCTCCCACTCTTATTCTTTCCCAAAATAATTTTCCCATTTCACTTTCTTTTCCCAGATTCTACTGGTGGGCTCTGTTTTTATTATAGGCAAAAGAAATAAAATAAAGAAAAATGTAAAGGGACAATTTTTACATAAAGTGAACAAAAGATTAGTTATAAGAAGTTTTCTATCTAAGAGGTCAAAGACTATCTGAACTACAAAAAAAGCTTATGATTGTAGATTATTAAAACCAAATACAAATTTCAAATAGCACTGATACAGAGCTAAAATGTTTTAAAGACCACTCTAAAAAAGCAAAGAAAAGATACACAGAAGAGAATATAATAATAAGATAGGATGTTGTTTTTAATATCATAATGTGAAAAAGAAAGCAATGATTTAACAATTGTTTTCTACCAACAAATAGAGCTAACATAATTTCTGCACTCTAGTATGAGTGGCTTCCCAACCCAATAAAAAATATATATAATTTTTATGTCAAATAATTTCTAAAAATAAAAATTTTCAAAATTTAAAATATTTTTACTGGACCTATGAAACCTAATTTTGCAACAACTAAGGTGATGCTTTATAATATTTTTCTATTAATTCCAGCAAATATGATAGAATCAACTCAAAACTATACCTCACTAGAGAAATAAGAACTCTATATATTAGCCTGCTACTTAAATATTACTTGAGAAGAAGAACTACTTTCAAAATTAGGGCAAAATTATGACAGTTACTTAAGTTCTATGAAGTACACATTTAAAAAGGGAAAGCATTTTTTATTCATTGCTGGAAAGTTTTCCTCCAAAATGTATGGTCATAAGCTACTTACCTTGTCCATTTCCACTATTGTCAACATCAGCCAAACACAAACAGCCTTGATCAAATTCTTCTTTCTCTCCCAGAACAGTAGACCACCAATCACGGGCTTTAAATAAAGACATTTTCTTTCACTCTAAAAAGAAAGCATTTATTTATAATAAAAATCCATTTCACACCATGAATTAATTATCTTTTAAGGTGGCTACAGCAAATAAACTTGGACATCTTTGAAAAGAACCATTCTGTATTAACTTTATGTACTTAAACATTTTATAGACATACGTGAAACTACAAACCCAAATGGTTGGAAACATTTATCAGATATTTATAAATGCCATTGGTAAGCCAAATTCTACTTTTAGACTGGGCTAACTCTCTTTTTGGGATATTTAGGAGACAACTGCACAAAGTAACTATATATATATATATATATATATATATATTAGAGCCCTGGTGGCACAATGGTTAAGAGCTACAGCTGCTAACCAAAACGTCAGCAGTTCAAAACCACCAGCTGCTCCTTGGAAACTCTTTGGGGAGGTTCTACTCTGTTCTATAGGGTCCCCATGAATCAGAATCAACTCGACGGCAACAGGTTTTTTTATACGTATATGTATATTCTTTAAAGGGTCAAGATTCAAATTCTACCAGCAATATTTTGCATATACATCCTTAGCAAACTACTTAACTTCCCTTCAGTTTTCTTTTTGGAAAGAATGCAGTATCTCCTGTCTCAATGAGTTGGTATGAAGAGCAAATGAAATCAAATGTGTCAAATGGCTAGTGCCAAAAGTGGCACATTACAAGCATTCACGCACTCATTGCCTCTCCCTTTATAAGCTGTAGAAAGGCAAGATGGAAGAGGAACAGTCACACTAAAAAGAACCAGGAGAACTGGAATTACAGGTCCATTTATGCCACTAACTACCTGTGTCCTTAGGCAACCCATATAACCTTTCTGTGCTTTGAGTCCTCATCCAGAAAGAGGATATACCAGCCCTGTCTTCCACTGAAGGAGCCCTAGTGGTGCAGTGGTTAAGTGCTCAGCTGCTAACTGGAAAGGTCAGCAGTTCGAATCCACCAGCTGCTCTGCGGGAGAAAGATGTGGCAGTCTGCTTCTGTAAAGATTACAGCCTTGGAGACCCTATGAGGCAGTTCTACCCTGTCCCATAGGGTCACTGTGAGATGGAACTGATCAACTCGATGGCAATGGGTTTGATATCTTCCTCTGAGTTACCTATATGGTGCATGTGAAAGCACACTGGACCTTTGAAATTACAATACAAACGTCAAATGCCTGAGATCCTAAAAGAGTTCACTTTTATCTAACATAAATGAGGTTTTCCTTCCTGCTACAGTGATTTAAATGGTCATTAAAAGATTTTTCTTTTTTAATGTAGATCTACCTGTTTCTCAACAGCAGGCCTTCAGCCTGGGCTAAGCATAAACACTAAGGCCTCCTGCTTTCATACAAAGTTGGCCAAGAAATTAGCCAAGAGTAAAATGGTGGTGAAAAGTTCAGGCTCTGCACTGAGGCTGGATGACCCCCGAAACTCTGCTCTAAGGAAATCTTTAAAGCTTAAACTGAAAATAACCCCTGAAGTCATCTTTAAACCAAACAATAGCTGAGTTTAATTAGAAAAGAAGGTCTGCCTTGAGCATTGTGTTCTTTTAAAGAATTATTTATATGAGATCAGAGAGAGAGAACAGCAATTCAAACAGTTGGATGAGATGTTTAGGAGGCAGTGAGTTTGTTCTGATGATTCAAAACAATTCAGAAAAGGATATCCAGAACAGTGGCACAACTTGAAGAATGTAACCAATGTCACTGAATTGTACATGTAGAAATTGTTGAATTCATGCATGCTTTGCTGTGTATAGCTTCACCAAAAATAAAAAATACAAAAAAGAAAAGAAAAGTGCAGTCTCTGGAACCAGCCATTTGAATCCTCGCTCCACACCATGTACTAACCATGCAACCAGTGGCAAGTTACTAAAAGTTACTAAGCCTCCCTCTACCACAGCTTTCTCATCCATAAAATAAAGGTAAGAGGGGTATTGTAAGAATTAAATAAGAATGCAGTAGAGCACTTAGTGCAATACCTGACACTTAATAAGCACTCAGTAAATGTTAGTCATTGCTATAGTTTTTACTTCTTCTTATCATTTTTGAAAAAACCTATATCCAGGAAAAACCCCATGTCCTTTAATGTGCAAACGGTTAAACCAACTGTGCTACACTCATACCATGGAATACAACTCAGCAATAAAAAATAAGTATTGATACAACTTGGATGAATCTCAAGGGCATTATACTGAGTGAAAACAAAAAATCCAATATCAAAAGCTCATATATTACATAATTCCATTATTAAAACATTTTCAAAATGATAAAATTATACTAATGGAGAACAGAACAGAAATTGCCGGGAGTTAGGGTTGGAGAAGGTGTGACAGTAAAGGGGCAGTACAAGGAAATTTCTTTGGGATTATGGAACAGTTCTGTATCCTAACTCTGGTCGTGGTTTCATGTGACTAAATTCAATTTCTTAGAACTATATACCAAAAAAAAAGGGTATATGTAATATGAAAATCTGGTGAAATCCAAATAACATCTGTAGTTTAATTATAGTCTTGTACTAATGTCTATTTAATGGTGTTAATAATTGTACTGTGGTTTTGCAAAATGCTATCATTGTGGGAAGGTGGGTGAAGGGTACAGCTCTCTGTATTATTTTCGCAACTTCTATGGGAGTCTGAAATTATTTCAAAATGAAAAGGTTAAAAAAAAGAAATAAAAAGAGAGACGGACAAAGGGAGGGAGAGAGGGAGGAAAGAGGAAAGTTTCCATCTGTGTTCCTCTTTTTATGCTAAGAAGAAAAATTAGTCAGATAAAGGCAGGGTCTTGATGGAAGTGAAGGAAAATTACATAGTCAGCAGATAAATGTACGATGAACTTTAACATACGTGGGATGGTTTCTGAAAAACATCTGCATCAGTCATTATTACTAATGGCACTAAATAACCATACAAATTGGCAGATGACTAAACTTCAGATCTGGCATTAAGTCTTAAAGAAATGCAATAAACCCTTTTATTGTACTTTTATTGGATTTGTTTATTTGACAAGGAAATAACATTATTTAATAAATGCCATATATTCTCATTTATGTACTCCAGATACATAGGAAATTGTAATGTGCCACACTACTGGAGCACCAGGACAAAGATACATCACTTTCTTATAGCCCAGTCAGAATGCTCCCCAACTTTTCCCCCTGAATACCACCTAGGTCACTGTAAATCCTCTCCTGACCCAAAATCAACCTAGATAGTCTCATGTTTTCCCTGGACCTGCTTCAAAGCACCTGGTCTATTACAGTACAGCTTCAAATCGGAACAGAATCACTAAACCCATTCCAACCAAAGTTTGTGAATCTGACAGCCACTAAGCTCCCAGTTCAAAGGTTTTCCATGACATTACCAAGGTAGAGATAAAAGGATCATAAATAATGAAACCACCAGAAAAAGTAAATAAGATGAGGCAGAAATGAGTTGAAGTTAGAAAAAGTAGGCAGGTAGATAAAAAATTTTAGTCAACATGCCTATTGACCGCATGCGTGTCCAAAGTCCATCAGGTTACCAAATTACTCTTTTGGTGTACTGTTAAGCTGCTTTAATTTCATTCAGATACAAGAAAACCAGTAACAGATTACAATGGGAGAGTATGATGCCTACCTGTATTCAGCCACACAGACCCAATTTCTGGCACTGTGCTAAAATGTACCAGTATACTTTATTTATTCATTCAAAAAATATTTATTGAGTACCTACTGCATGAGCTCAGCTGCTAACCAAACGGTCGGCAGTTCAAAACCACCAGCCACTCCTTGGAAACTCTATGAGGCAGCTCTGTTCTGTCCTATAGGGTTGCTATGAGTCAAAATCGACTCCACAGCGGACCATGGTCTCCAGGAGCATCTAGCTCAATTGGCAAAATACAGTTTATAAAGAAAATGTTCTACGTTCTACCTTGGTGAGTAGCGTCTGGGGTCTTAAAAGCCTGTTAGCCATTTAAGATACTCCACTGGTCTCACCCCTTCGGGAGCAAGGGAGAATGAAGAAAACAAAATACAACGAAAAGATTAGTCCAAAGGACTAATGGACCACAACTACCACAGACTCCACCAGACTGAGTCTAGTACAACTAGATGGTGCCCTGCTACCACCACTGATTGCTCTGACCAGGAGCACAACAGAGAGTCCCGGACAGAGCTGGAGAAAAATGTAGAACAAAATTCTAACTCACAAAAAAAGACCAGACTTACTGGCCTGACAGAGACTGGAGAAACCCTAGGAGTATGGCTCCTGGACACCCTTTTAGCTCAGTAATGAAGTCATTCCCGAGGTTCACCCTTCACCCAAAGATTAGACAGCCCCATAAAACAAAACGAGACTAATGGGGCACAACAGTCCTGGGACAAGGACTAGAAGGCAGGAGGGGACAGGAAAGCTGGTAATAGGGAACCCAATGCTGAGAAGCGACAGTGATGACATGTTGTGGGGTTGTTAACCATAGTCATAAAACAATATGTGTACTAACTATTTAATGAGAAACTATTTGTTCTGTAAATCTTCATCTAAAGTACAATAAAATAAAATAAAAAGCATATTTTAAAGAAAAGACGACTCCACAGCAACAGGTTTGGTTTTTGATATGCCAGGCACAGTTCTAGGTACAGGAGATACATTAAAAAAATAAAACGAACAAAAATTCTTGCCATTAAGAAGCTTATTCTAGTGAGGCGAGAAAGACAATAAACCTAATAAATTAGTAAATTATATAGTATGTGTGCAGTAAAGGGTTTACATGCAGGCCTGACTGGTATCCTTTGAAAGGCTGCTTATAAGGCTGGCCCTCAGTTAGAATTGAGAAAACTGGATTTCGGGAGGGTTCTGGCTAGCCTAACAAATAAGAGTGCTCACTGTGCCTGAACTATTTTTGTACAAAGAACGTAGTTTATGCTGAATACCTAGTTTCCTGCTGGAAGTCTTGAATTTTGATATGTGATAGGCAGAGGGTGCCTACGTGAACTGCCTCCATAA